CTTCTCTTCTGTGTCCCCTGCTAGTGGTGTAGGTCCCAACATGATCATTTCTCCTCCTTACTTGACTCCTTGTGGATATTTCTTGACAGCCTTGGTTGTAGAAGAGACTTTCTGCTTTGTGCTTTGGAGGTGAGGATGAGAATATCCCAGAACTTCTCCAACCTCCAGTTTTCAGTGAGAGTAACACCACAAGTAGATGTATTTTTACTCTGTTTGTGGGGGGGAGGGGCAGTGAGCTCAATGTCCTCTTTCCCATCTTGCGTCTCCCATTTTCAGATATATTTAATTGTAACATCATAATACATTGTATAAAGAGGGCTAGATGTTGCCCCCTGTTTAATGAGGGAAAACTAGAAGCATAGTAACAGGAAAGTTCAATAATCTGTGCACAATATTCCAGTAATCAGAATAATGCAGTGGGCAGTGAAAAGCAGAGGGTGATTTCTGTGTTCAAAGGACCAAAGGTATCTTTGCTTCCCCACTCATTAGGCATAAACTGGAGTAATTCTTGGAGAGGAAGAGGTATGAATCTGCTAAAATCAATTTTTTACCAGATCAGATGACCCAAAATACTTTAGATTGGACCTATTTTCCAAGATCTTCCCTTCTTTAAGTGTTTTGTGCTTTGGAGGTGAGGATGAGAAGATCCTAGAACTTCTTTGAGAACTTTGACTTCATGGTGATATAAGATCTGCCTTGTCGTTGGAGTTATGTTAAAGGATTACTGATTATAAAGGATACTTTATGGTTATTTTGCTTTGTAAGGAATAATGACGAGATTAATTACCAAGGTAATTAGTTTCAACACATCTAGTCAGTGCTGGTACTAAACTGTCATGCTGATAGGAAGATGAACTTCTTTTTTTAAAGATTTTTTTTAATGTGGACTATTTTTTAAAGTCATTATTTAATTTATTACAATATTGCTTCTATTGTTTATGTTCTGATTATTTGGCCATGAGGCTTGTAAGATCTTAACTTGCCCACCAAGGATTGAGTCCACACCTCCTGCATTGGAAAGCAAAGTCTTAACCACTGGACTATCAGGGAAGTCCCAGAGGATGAAATTTTGCAATTTGTAGTAGCTGATTTGCTACATTAAATCTACCTCACACAATTTAAATAAAGCAAACAAATCAACACTCAACCTTATTTTTAGGAACATGTTAAAATAGTGCATAATGGGTCACATGATTTTTTTTTCTAATTGCCAACTGTGTCCTTGTTAGCATCTCTTCCCTTGTCTGACTAACAAAGTTACCATTTTTCATTTATTTATTCCTTAAAGATTCACTGAGCCCTAAACTATGCATACTAGGCCCTTTTGTAGGACTGCATTGACACCTTGAAACATCTGTTGGGCATTTGGTGTGATTTGTGGGATGCTCCAGGAGAAAGAAATGGTAACCCACTCCAGTATTCTTGTCTGGGAAATCTCATGAACAGAGGAGTCTGGGGGGCTACAATCCAAGGGGTCACAAAAGAGTTAAACAACAACATGGGATACTCCAATGGTGTGCTTTTAATACATTCTCAATGGAATATTATAGGTGTTTTACACTTTTTCTTAACACAACTATTCTCGCTATGTTAAAAAAAAATAGTATTGTAGGCAGAACACCAGCTGAGAGAGAACAGGAGTACCTGACCAGTGGAAGAGAACCATGCAAATCTCTGTAGGATGAAGGAAGTAGGGGGAAAAACAGGAGTGTTAGTAGGTCTAGACCTGCCCTTGCTGAGTGGGGCAACTGAACTAGGGGTCTGATTCCTATATCAGGACAATTGTCTGGATCAGAGGAGAAACATTTAAGGCTGAGAGTGAAGCAGCTGATCTGTGGCAGCCTAAATGGAATGAGAAACAGACAGTCCTTGCCACAGCCATAGGTACCCTGGACAGGGATGCAGGTCCTCTAGAAGGTTTAGTGGCTGGGAGCTGGAGCACAGGTATTGTGGAGCAATTCCAGAAGAAGGGCTGCCGTTGATTGTGGAGAGATGGATCGAAGGGATGTGAGGGAGGAGACTGTGGTGGGAAATGCCTGGGGAGGAAAGTCAGGCAGCCATGGAAACAAGGCAATCCTGCTGAGTCATGCACAGGGTTGGAGCCATCACCATAGCCTCTCTCTCCCCACTTGCCAGCATCCTCAGCTGAACAATATAAAGTCTGGCCCATCAAGTGCCTGGTACATGGAACAACAGAGTAGGACCCCACCTAGGGTGCCCCTTTAAGTGCCTGATGGGCAATCTACAGAGTAGGACCCCACCCAAGGGTGGGGGTGGGGGGGGAGGG